AGAAAATAACTTTCTCAATAAAAATATTTTCAAAGTTATTTTTCCTTATACCATACACAGATGTGTGTGTGTGTTTGGTACAAAGGCAAATGTGAAATGACTTTGAAAATGCTTTTCATGAAAAAATCATTTTATGATAAATGGTACAGTTGAAAATTTCAAATCCATGAGAAAATAACATTATCGTCAAGTTTGATCATTGAATAAATTTTCGCCTGTTGGCTATCTCAACTATCATAAAAGTCTTAGTATTTGTTTCTTGACAATAAGGGTACTTCAATTTGAGGATAATTTTAAATTTAATAAAAAATTTAGGGGGTAAATGTGTTTTTTTTTTTTTCTCAAATGGATAATAAAAGCTCAGAAAAAAATTTGTATTGTTTGATGCAAGGGAAAATGACTTTAGAAATGTATTTATGAGAAAGTCATTTACAAATATTTGATACGAAAAAATTTAATACAAAAAATATTTTTCATCAAAAGGAAAAATATCACTTCTGTCACTTATGAACGGAAGTCATTTCTCTTTTTTTTAAATTTAAACATGATATCACTCGCTTGTTGAGGCACACTCTTGCCAATTCAGTCATCTCAATGCTACATAAGCTTAGTCAACGGTCAGAGGGGTTCAATATATGGTGATTTACTGAGTTTAAAGGTTCAGTTGATAAAGGATTAAGTAGAAGGGTTCATAATACAAACTTATATAAGTACAGGGGTTCATCAGACCATTTCGCCATTTTCGTCTCTTGGCTATTTCAACTATCATAAAAGTCTTAGTATTTGTTTCTTGACAATAAGGGTGCTTCAATTTGAGAATAGTTTTAAATTTTAACAAAGAAATTTAGAGTGTAAATGTGTGTGTTTTTTCCTCAAATGGATAATAAAAGCTCAGAAAAAATTGTATTGTTTGATGCAAGAGAAAATGATTTAAGAAATGTATTTACGAGAAAGTCATTTACAAATATTTTATACGAAAAAAGTTAATACGAAAAATATTTTTCATCAAAAAGAAAAATATGACTTCTGTCACTTATGAGTGGAAGTCAATTTTCTTATAGTTATCTTAGATTATATAATAACTCTTTATAGTTTTTTCCAACCAACAAGGGCATGTTATTAATCTTTAATATTCAAAAGTTTTATTAAACACTCTTTGATTTTGTTGATATTAATATTAATTTTTTAATATTTATTTATTTTTTACTTATCAATTAAACACTCACAAGTAAATAATTTTTCTTTGGTTGATTTTTTATCCACTATACATCTAAATCGTCAAGAAAGTCTTTTTTTTTTCCTGATCACTAACAGCAAAGGTATGATTCGAAGAAAAGTTTAGGGAAAGATAAAGTTGAACAATTTAGGATCGTACAAATCAAACATTTTTCCTATTAATTATATTTTACATAGAGATATATAGTAATAAAAAAGATATAAATTTATCTATATCATTTTAAATTGCTCAATTTTATCTTTTCCTATATTTTCGTTCATCTCATATCCTTATTATGAGTAACTTAATTATCTCATATTTATCGTTAATATTAACATCATCAAAGTTGACTAAGTAGGCGTTTGGCCATGCGATACCATATCACGATATGGTATCGTGAGATGGAATCAGCGTTTGGACATGCGATTTTACGCTGATTCCATATCATGAGAGGTGATACCATATTCTCCAAAAACCATAATATGGAATTATATGGTGATTCCATATCATGATTTGAGATATTTTAATACAATAATTGATTCATGAGTTTATGTTTTGTTAAAACAACCCACATTTATATCTACTAACCATTTGTTTCATATGTAAATAAAATTTATAATCACATCATTACTGTTTAAAATTTATTATTCTCACCGACATAAAATTTATTATTCTCACCAACATATAGTCACTTTAATTCACACATCACGATTGTGAAACTTTTCAACATTATATTCACTTGAAACAATTAACCGGCATGTTAAAATAGTTGCCGAGGCAATTAGCAAGATGACACCAACATTTATACAACCAAAAAATATGACTGGTGTACACTCCAAAATTCGACATAATACTCGATTTTGGCCTTGGTTTAAGGTAAAATTTCAATCACATTAACAAATTTATTTTATGGCCTTAATAAGTGAACATTTATATTTTATGTGTAAGTTATTAGTATTTAGTTACATATTTCCTATCAACTTTGTTTAAAGAGATAATATTTATTTTATGACTTTGCATTGTCTTGGAAGCACTATTTTTATTACTCTTACAAACATTTTTTTTATGAAGTGCATTCTATAATGCTTCCAATTTATTTTATGTTCACTAAACTAATATTGATGTATTTTTTATTTGGTAGGATTGTGTTGGTGCGATTGATGGAACATATATAGAAGGGGAGGTTCCTAAAGCGGTGCAACAAGCATATCGTAATCGCAAAGAAAGAACATCACAAAATGTCTTATGTACTTGTGATTTTGATATGCGATTTACCTTTGTTGCTGCTGATTGGGAAGGTACTGCACATGATAGTAAAGTACTTGAGAATGCACTTGTTGAACCAACGTCTCAATTTCCATTTCCGCCACATGGTAACTTTAAATTACATCCTTAGAATAAATATTATTTAGTTACACAAAGTTGTCTCATTTACGTCATATACTCTTTTAGTAATTCTTTATAAAATGTTTTTTGGTAGATAAATATTATGTTGATGTTGGTTTCCGAAACACAAAAGGATTTTTAGCTCTATACAAAGGACTACGCTATCATTTGCAAGATTACCGAGGAAGTGAAAGAGAGCCTCAAAATGCCAAAGAACTATTTAACTATAGGCATTCATCTCTGCGCAATGTGATTGAACGGACTTTTGGAGCTTGGAAAAATAGATTTAGAATACTGAAACAAGGCATGAACCATTATGATATTGATACACAAGTGAAAATTGTCATAGCTTGTGCAGTGTTACATAATTATTTGCGAGAATACCAAAGTAGTGATGAAATATTTATCGTCAATGAACATGAAGATATAGTTGCGGAGGATATTGACCAACAAATGGTTCAAAGTAACAATGTTGATTCGTCTTCTCGGTCACATGATCGAGAAATGTAAGTTCAACGTGAGGAAATTGTCCGTACTATGTGGGAGGATTATATTAAAGACTAGTACACTACAATTTATGTTCAATTTTTTTTTATTAAATTAAAGTTAGATGAAACAATTACTTAAGTGGAGAACAAATAACTTTGTAATAATTTATTATGCGATTTTATAATTTTTTGTTTATTTGATAAGATTGAATAAACAATTGGGGTTGTTTTAATAGTTTTACAACTTATGAGATTTTTATGTTTATGAGAAAATATACAACACAAAAATTTCATATCGCATGTCCAAACAAGCCTTCAATTTCATCTCATGATTCCATATCATGATACCAGATCGCATGGCCAAACAGGCCTTAAGATTTATAGTTGTCTTCAAATTGAAGCATCATCGGGGACCAATGGAAAAAATGACTTTTTTTTTAGTGAGATAGAAATATTATACCAAATACTAACCAATTAAATATGATTCAATTTTGAATAATAGATAAATAAACTTTATCATTTTTCATATAATAATAAAACACATGTCCTAAAATTTGCTTGGCGTGGAGGAAAATATTTTTCAAAACAAATACTAAACGCTTTTTTCTTGATCACTAATGTCTAATAGGCAATAGCAATGATATGAATGGAAGAAAAGTTTAGGGAAAGATAAAATTGCACAATAGGATTGAACAAATCGAACACTTTTCCTATTACATTTTTTATCGAGGTATAATAATAATAATAAAAAATATAAATTTATCTAAATCGTTCTAAATTTCTTGATTTTATCTTTTCCTGAATTTTCGTTCATTAATATCCTTAATATTAGTAAATTATCTTGTATTTGCCATTGATATTAACATCATCCATGTATTCTGAGAAATATTTGGTTAAAATTTACAATTGTCTTTAGATTGAAACTCGATCAGGGATCAAGGGAAAAAAGGCGACTTTTTTGATGATTGAGATAGAAATATTAGATCAAAAACTAAACAATGAAAATGATTCAATGTCCAATAATAGATAAATAATGTTGATCCTTTTCTATAGAGTAATAAGACACATGTCGTCGAGTTTGTTTGATATAGAGGAAAATATTTCCTTATTTTTTCATATTTGATTAGGCAAAAATTCTTTAAAATATTTTCTCTAGTAAAAGAAGTTTAAAAAAATGAGGAAACAAGAAAAACAGATTCTATACATGATATTTTATATTTATTATACGAAAAATGATAAATATACCCTCAAACTATCATAAATATTATCTAAATACCATTCGTTATTTTTTTAGGACACTGATATTTTTACCATCAAATTTTTAGAGTCTATATACTATTTGGACTAACGGAGGGACACCTGCCACAATTTGAATGACCTACAAAAAATTATTTATATTTACAATAGTTCAATGATACATTTTAATATCCTCCCCACCCACCAAAGACCCCAACCCCTTGACCATCTGACCCCCTTTGATCCTGAAGCTCCACTCCCCACCCCGTCCCATCCCTGGTGATGTTTAACTAAATTATATATAAACATCATTAATATAATATCGTTTTACTTACTTATCAAATATCAATATATAAATAAAATTCCTAACTTATTTATACAAGAATATTTTCCATATTTCCCTTGGTACCAAACAAATTCCCTACATATTATTGTTCTCATGGATATGAAAATTCCATAATAGAGAAAACAATTCGTCAAAATTTGAAAGGTCAAAATTTAAAAAAAAAACAAAAACCCATAGTATATAGTAGTACCTTTTAGGAGTCAAACATTTGGTATATAGACAAAATTGGTGGAGGATCCCAAAGTCCCCACATAAAGCAAAATCCCTATCCTATTGGGAGGAGTATTATTTATTTATATATATATAATATAAAGTAGGAGTCTTACACAATTAAGAGAATTCTCTCAAATTAACCTTTCTCTTGATTTTCCTCTTTTCTTGTAAACACCCCTCCCTATACCCTACAATCTCTTTCAACTTCCACGCCGCCTTCATGGAAATCAATTGAAGAAAATTCTCATAACCGTTTTTTTCATTATAAAATCATGATGATGATGGCGGGTGTGGTTGTTCTTTAACATTTGGTTTTAATTCTTGAATATTGATTAAAAAAAAAGTGAGAAAAATGTGTGTGATTTTGGAAAAAGAGGGTGATGATGATGGTGTGCTGTTGGTGTCGCCGAATAATTTTTCTGCTGTTGAAGATAACTGCATATACAGATCTGGATTACCTCAACCGTCTAATTTTCCCTTTCTTCAATCCCTCAATCTTCGATCCATCATGTTAGTTTTTTTTTTTTTTATTGAATTGGGAATTTACATATTGATTTCTTGGTTTGATTTTCAAGATTTGTATGTGGGTAATTGTAATTTGATGATTTTGATATGGGTTTGCAGATATTTGTGCCCTGAGCCTTATCCTGAAGAGAATTTGGAGTTTCTGAGAATTAATAATATCAAGCTTTTTCAGTTTGGTATTGATGGCACTAAGGTACTAGTCCTTTTTCTTACTAATTATTTATCTGTTGTGATTTGAAAATTTATGAAATTAGGGTTTTATGATTTGAGGGAATTTGAAATCTAAATAGTGCAGTTTACAGTAATTGTTCTTCTTGAAATTTGTTCTTAAAATGGTTAATTTGTGTTCAAATTGCATAATAGTAGTTGTTTTTGGGCAAAAGAAAAGAGATTTAGATTGCATTCATATAAAGCTTTTGATTCAAAATATATTACTAATGGAGTTGTTTTGGTAATTTTTGTAGGCATATTGTTATTTTGATACTATAAAAAATAAGGCTAAGAAAATTGTTTATTTGAATTTTCCAGTGCTACAATCTATTTTTGCATAAATATTTCTTGTAAAAATGGAAATCTTTTTCCATTCAGGAGCCATCAGCTATGTCCAGCAGTGCTATAACAGAGGCTCTGAAAGTGATTACTGGTAAAAAAATCTATGCCTTTTCTATCTGTTGTGTTTATAGGATGTTTAAATCTTGGAATATGAATTTTTACTTTATTTTCGTTTTTGGTTTTTAGATGTCAGGAATCACCCTGTTCTCATCCATTGTAAGCGTGGAAAGGTACAAAATCTTCATCTTATTGCTCTGGTGTCTATGCTTACGTTTGTTGTGCGTATATTTCATCCATGTCCCGGAGTTCCATTAGTGATAATTGATGTATACTCTTTTGTGAATGGTAAATATATCTGCTGTGCTATTATTGAGTACCTCTCACGTCTTCTTGTGCTGTGTATGAAACCTCGTTTGTTCATTGTGTGTTTAAATTATGAAATATATCGTCATTCATAAATCGATTAACATGGAAAGAGTGAGTAATTGTATATCCAACTCAAGTTGCTTGAGATTCCGGTGAAGCTGTTGTTGTTGTTGTCTAGCTAATATATATTATGGCTATTGTTGTTGTTTGAATTCCAACAACAATATACCCCGTGAAATCCCACAGGAAAGATCCCCGGCTCTTTTGTTTGAATTTCAAGCATCATATGTAGGCGTTGTATATTGAACTATTGTTTGGTTTCTCTTAGCAACAATTGTAATACATAGGCTTCATAAGTGATACAAGTTTGTATTTTGTTACGTGCAGCACCGTACTGGTTGCCTGGTTGGATGCCTGAGGAAATTGCAGAACTGGTGTATGTCTGCTGTGGTGGAGGAGTACAAGCATTTTGCTGGCACAAAGTGGAGAGAAACCGATGTCAAATTTCTGGAGAAATATGACGTTTCACGCATTAGGCATTGTCTTGAGAGCATTATCTACAGGTACTATGGGTCGAAGAAGAGGCGCTTGCAGTACAGAGAAGAAAGTCTGCAGAAGCCCCAGATGACTTCAGTTCTATAGAGGGGATTTATCCACCTTAAGTTTTAGCCTGGATTGGATATAATACCCATTCTTCTTTTATTTCTCTTTTCATTGCTTCAGATTCATCTATACACCAATTTGTTTCTGTGATGCCTTTACTTTGCATTAATTCGAAACCAGAAATATTAATTTCTGTGTTAATTCTTTTTCTCTTGTACATTAGTTATTATTCACACCTTCATATTAGACTACTAGAAAGATTAAGTTCAAAGGATAATATTGGATGTAGGTGGGTCGATAGTTAGTGACGACTCATATAATTGACACTTAGGGGTCGTTTGGTGTGATGTATAAGAGAAAGTTATCCTGGGATAAAAATTTAGTGTCTCTTAATCCGTTGTTTGGTTGGACAGGATGGGATAACTTATCCAGGATTAACAAATAGTACTGGGATAAGTTATCCCTCCCTGAGGGTGGAATAGTAATCCCAGGATAACTTATCCTGGGATAAAGTATGTAAATTAACAAAATTACCCCTTAAACTCTCTTTTATACACCACTTATACATAGTATATTAATATAATTTTAAACAACTATAATAACATTCACAACCTTACTTAATCGTTGTTTTAATCATAATATATTTTTCTATTAAAAATTACATTTTATAAATACAAATTTTATTTATGAATATATTATAAGTTGATTTTTTTGCCTAATTTTATATTTATATTTATATTTTGATTTCTCTTAAAATACTCACTCCACTACTAAATTACATATTTTGAATTACATAGTTTATTACTCATTTAAAAATTATATTCTATGTATCCATTAAAATGTAGATAACTTTAATAATAATATTTCTTTTACTTTGATAAACTTAAAATGAAAGTTTTATTTTTAAGCTAAATAAGATCGAAAGTTTTATTTTTAAGCTAAATAAGATGAAAAATTTATTTTTAAGCTAAATAAGATGAAAATTTTATTTCTAAGTTAGATAAGATGGAAGTTTTATTAAAGTTAAATAAGATGAAAGTTTAATTTTAAAAACACACAGCACAATCATGGAAATGCACATATAAAAATATTTAAGCTAAATAACATGAAAGTTTGATTTTTGAGAATGAATAACTAGAGTTTGCAAAGAAAATGTAAAAAAACAAACAAAATAAGGTGGATGGTATTTTTGTAAACAAACAACTTATTATTAAAAATTATACAATGGATATAAGTTTGAATATGACAAACCAAACAAGTAATAAAAACTACTCCCAGCATAACTAATTCCAATATAACTTATCCCAACATAACTTATTTCAACATAACTAATCTCAGGATAACTGATACAGGACATAATTTTACTCAAACAACTGAAAATGAATATGCTGGAGGATCTCCTCGTGAACATACTGGACCATCTGAAAAGCAAGGTAAATATGCTAAAACATCTTCTTCTAGTGTCAATGAAAAAGAAAAAGGCAAGAAAAGAAAGAGGGTTGTGGAAGATGTTAATGAAACATTTCTCAAGAGTATGACGGAAGTTATGAAAAGCTTTACTGAAAGCCAAGATAAAAGAATTGGTTCGTTGATAGACAAGATTGGAAATCGTGACCACTCTGATATGCGTGGTCAAATTTATTCCATCATTGAATCTCCTACATTTGATTTGTACACCATAGAGCAACGTATCAAAGCTAAAAAGGTTATCTGTGAAGATGTCAAAAATATGGAAATCTTTTTACGTATGGGTGAGCTTGAGCGCCAAACAATGATGTTCATGGTCGTCAATGATAAACTTTGAAGTATGATAAGCTTGTGTATATAAATGGTGGCACTAGTGTGATAGTTTTTGCTCAACTAAAAGTTTCAAATCAAAACTTTGATTGGAGTGCCATTTTTTGATCCTCTAGTTATGTTCACACTCTTTTGTGTATGACTAATGTAGGTCATGAGGATGCTAGAATCTTTTGTATATGTAAAATCTATTAAATAGATTAACTCTCATGTAAAAGTTAAGTTTGTTGTAAGTTTGTTACTAGTTATCAATTTTTGTGCAGTTGCTTATGTTGCTTCCCTATAGTTTTTGTCTCATTTTTTCTACTATGGTAGACCAATTTTTGGTCTTGTTTTTTCTGTTGCTTTGATGCAGAGCTTTTGTTTCAGTTTTGACAGGTGTTTTGGTGAATATTTACTGAAATTTTACTCTTGTTTTAGCTGTTGTTTTAGTTGTAGTGTTGGTTGGTTTGTTGTATCCTGCTGGTGCCTCTGTTTAATACTGGAAAATGTTTACTGCTGGTGCCTCTGTTTACTGCTGGTGCCTCTGTTTAACAACATACAGCAGCATACACGCATCATAACTTATCCCATTATAACTTGTATTCAAACCAAACGACCCGGTGTTTTGGATGCTATCAATAAGTGGAAGAATCCAAGAACCTAATCCAAGTTTAACTTGGTTTTCATTTGCGCGTCAGCCTCCTTTGTGTTTCTCCTATTTCCAAAGTTCTTTCCAAGTGTGCAATTGTTGTAATATTTTCATTTTGATTTCTTGTTCCTTGATCTATGTGATTAGCTGTAATTCCATTTCCTCAAGGAATCCTTCATGCACTTGGAATTTGCTTTGTTCCTGATCAACAGTTTCAGTAGTATCCTGTGAAGGACCTAATTCCTTTGCTTCTTGCAGTGTACTTCTGTAGTCAGATCTTGCAATAGACAGTAAGGAATTGGTTCTTCAGTAGTTCTTTGCCATAAACACAATAGACATGTTAAGGAATTGGTTCTTCAGTAGTTCTTTGTCATAAACAATATCTGCCATTATTGAGACATGTTTAACATCCAGTTCTTGCATCATGTTTGTTATATTTGTTAATCATCAAAACTCCATATGTGGCATAGCTAAGGACTCATAGCTCATAGCTCAACATAACTGACCTTCAATTATCACCATAAAGTTTCTGAATTAGTCTACCTCCTATCCTATGGCCCTCTCCATGAATTGAAGCTTCAGTACTATCGTAATAGTAAATTATTTGAACTGAATATTATGGCCCTCTGGTACATGAGATAATAACTTTGGTGCATACATGATTTCTTCTCAACTTGTATTTGTAAAATGATAATGCATCGCTTTCCACTTTTAGTTTCGTTTTTTCTTTTGAAGTGTAACCTTGATATTGCAGGCAAATTTGACTTGGGAACATATTATATTGTTCTACAAGAGAGTGTTAATTGTTGTGAATGTAGTTACATCAGTTATTGCAGCTATATAGTTACATCAGTTACCACAGCTAACATTAATTCCATTGAAGTGAAAGATTTTTGGACTTCTCATAATAAAAGTGGAATACCTACAATCGTGTTCAGTTAGGAATCACTAAACCCATACATGCGCCTTTTGATGCATATGGTTCAAAAAAATTGTGAATCAATGTATAGATTCTAGTGCTCGTTCTTTTTTTCTAGAAAGGTTCTTTCTTACTTTTAACGAAAGGGTTTTTCTTCGATTTTTCAATAAAGACGAGTTTTTACTCCTTCTATATATTTTTGATTTTCCATTATAAAATTAGGCTATTCAATGAACTCAAATAAAACGAGGTATTTTCATTGTGTAATCATCAGTGAAGAAGTTATTTTAAAAAAAAGTTAGTGAAGTATCAATTATCTTGGGAATATCTGTGTTGGATTTATTTGTCCAGAATTTGATTTTCAGGCAAATAGTGAGCATCCTATTGCAAAAGCAGTTGTGGACCATGCCAAAAAGTTACGCCTGAAGCACGGTGCTGAAAATGAATTTCACTCTGAGATAAAGAACTTTGAAGTGCACACTGGAGCTGGCGTAAGCAGAAAAGTTGGAGAACGGAAAATCCTAGTCGAAAATAGGAGGCTTATGCATGCTTTCAACGTCCCAGTAAGCAGTGAAGTTGATAACTACATTTCAGAGCATGAACATTTTTCTCGGACTTGTGTTTTGGTTGCTGTGGATGAGAAAATAGCTGGGGCTTTTGCTGTGACTGATCCTGTAAAGCCAGACGCTGCACGCGTTATTTCTTTTCTCCACTCAATGGACATCACAAGTGTCATGGTGACTGGTGATAACTGGGCGGCAGCAAGAGCAATAGCAAGTGAAGTGGGAATTCAAACAGTGTTTGCTGAAACAGATCCGCTGGGAAAAGCTGATAAGATTTTCTATGTTGGATGGATTGAGTAGTTAAATTTGGTTTTAACTAAAACTCTACCAAAGAAATATACAAAAAGTTAAATAAGAGGGTATTTTTGTAATCAAACCACTTACTTTTAGAAAGTATTATTTTTAGTACAACAAACCAAACAATCAATAAGAAATAATACCAGGATAATTAATCCCAGTATAACTAATCCCAACATAACTTATCCCAGCATAACTTATCCCATCATAACTTGTATTCAAACCAAACGACCCGTTAATCCGTTGTTTGGTTGGACAGGATGGGATAACTTATCCAGGATTAACAAATAGTACTGGGATAAGTTATCCCTCCCTGAGGGTGGAATAGTAATCCCATGATAACTTATCCTGGGATAAAGTATGTAAATTAACAAAATTACCCCTTAAACTCTCTTTTATACACCACTTATACATAGTATATTAATATAATTTTAAACAACTATAATAACATTCACAACCTTACTTAATCGTTGTTTTAATCATAATATATTTTTCTATTAAAAAATTACATTTTATAAATACAAATTTTATTTATGAATATATTATAAGTTGATTTTTTTGCCTAATTTTATATTTATATTTATATTTTGATTTCTCTTAAAATACTCACTCCACTACTAAATTACATATTTTGAATTACATAGTTTATTACTCATTTAAAAATTATATTCTATGTATCCATTAAAATGTAGATAACTTTAATAATAATATTTCTTTTACTTTGATAAACTTAAAATGAAAGTTTTATTTTTAAGCTAAATAAGATCGAAAGTTTTATTTTTAAGCTAAATAAGATGAAAAATTTATTTTTAAGCTAAATAAGATGAAAATTTTATTTCTAAGTTAGATAAGATGGAAGTTTTATTAAAGTTAAATAAGATGAAAGTTTAATTTTAAAAACACACAGCACAATCATGGAAATGCACATATAAAAATATTTAAGCTAAATAACATGAAAGTTTGATTTTTGAGAATGAATAAC